ATAAAGAGAGCAGATATGAAGATCTTACGGTCTTCCAGGCTCATAGCAACACAAGGTGCCGAGCTAGGCCGTCACTTGGTGCGGGCGAGCTGCATGACCGCTTTCGGAGCGACTTATCTACTGGATTCTACAGGCGTCTCCAGATTCTCAACTTACAGTTAAATATGCATTGAATCCACGGGTCATTATGTACTTACCTCCAGTGAGTCAATAGAGGCTGCCCCATCGACTAATTTCTATCTTTTCTGTACAGTACACAGTCTTCATCTCTCGACAGAGATGGCCGTACGGCGCTGGCGCACAGTACACGAGTTCTCCGTCCTAATTTGCTTGGGCTCAGATACGACTATCTTGCCGTTCACTCTGTCCATGGTGAAATGGGCAGTCTTCTTTGCATGGCCGGTGGCTTGCTCCATTCTACGTCTATCCTCCTCTTAGTTCGTATTGGCCTTCAAGAATCCTAATACCAGCCTGAGAATACCGCAGCTACCAATCCATGCAGAAAACTAATGTATATAAATTCATGGCATGGGCCCAATGAAGGGCCGAACTAAGAGCCTAAACACCGATGTCGTCTTTATATGGATTGGGACAGATACAACAGAACCTTGTGAGAGAGCCACTTTCAGTGAATCCAAGAGCCATTCTCAGTAGCCATACTTGCATAGCCCCTACACGTAGCTCTGTTGTGATGTCCAGAAACGCGGAATCTCGTCTTCATAGAAAGTGTTATTCATAGGTAACATCCATTGCTCAGACTCTTCATCCGCACGGGCGAGCCACTGCTCCATCTTGTTTTCTCGGTTGTCAGTGCCTGCAAAATGAACCAGAAATCCACCATATCGAATTTTGCCATCATCGTTGGAGTGTTCGGGTGTGGGAGTGCTGTATGCATTGAACCAGTGCTGAGGGACAAATTTTGTCTTGCTGGAGAATTCAGGCTCGTTAAGAATTTTTCCCATAGCGGACTGATCGCGGAAGATAAGATCTTCGTGCGGATAGTAATACCGATAAGAGACGATCGCAGAAAACAGTTCGACGCTTAACACGGAGACTCTTGTGAAGAACACTCCGTTGTTCAGACCATTGAAGTCACTCGTCACGAGAAAATTGATTTCCTCTTCTTCGGCTGGAGGTAGGAATATTGATAGTGGTACAAGGGTATTCATGACCACTGTATCCGCATCAACCCACATCAGCCATTCTAGCCTATCGTCCGCTGGCTTCTCCAGTTCTGATAAAAGTAGGGACAGGACATAAGCGGGCTTCGTCCAGACGTCATCTAACATTGTGTGGTGTAAGAGGTGAAAGGCATATCCGTGCAGGTTGCAATGGTCTGCATGCTTTCTGAGTGCTTTGTCGTAACTTGCGCTATCTCTGTTGTAAAGTATGGTGCATTTTCCAATCCTGGGACTAGATGAAGCATTCAGTTGCGGTAGCAAGCGCGTCAATGTTTGGTGCGGTCCGTAAAACTGGAAATACCCAAATTTGACCATCAAAATTACGCAGTTGAAACTCAGAATAACCGCAGTCATCAAGAATTTCGGTGTCATGATTGTTATTAGTTATGCTTGCAAAGAATGCCCTGCTGAGGGGGGCGAGCTAACGTTTATTACTCTCACGCCCCACACATCTCAGGTATCGCCAATTGCACTGAAAACTGTGGATTATACTGCATGCCTAGAGATACCTTCGGTATCAGAAACCATCGTGAGGAAAGAGACCTTTCATCGTTGGAGCATCGGGTAGGAGAAGATATCATAAACGTTGATACTGTAATCTTTAGGATCAAGGCAATACTGGAGTCTGGTCTGAGATGCTTAATTTTCAACCCTTGTGTGTTCTGACGTGTCTCATTTGCCTTTTTGCAATGCACATGTACCGGCTGCCTGATGGCATTGGACCATATCTAGGCAAGTATTGGGTGTCATCTCGGGGAAAAGATTTATGAGTCAATGCTACTGTACGTGAACTAGTCAGAACAAACCCAGCCTAAGCAACCTGGAAACCCGAATAAATCCTAGCAGGTCTTAGTGGAAAATATATATACTAGAGTCCTCTCCTGACTTTTTGTGCGTCT